CCCCAAAACCCCAAAACCCCAAAACCCCAAAACCCCAAAATATTTTCAATATATTGAATATATTTTAAGTTAAATATGGAATCTCTTCAAAAGTATTACTCATTGTATGTAATCTCTTCAAAGATTCATCTCTAATGCTTGTAGAATTAGTAGTTCTTTCAAAAATCAGCATATTTATCGGTCCAACAAAAGTAATTCTTATTAAGATCCTTAGGTGCTAACTCCAATGGATTAGGAATTCATATTCGAAGTATGAAATTATCGCCATCTCCAAAATTTCGCCTACATAAGCCTAAAAGAAAGAGAAAGAATGATGATTTAAGACACAAGAGCATGATAAAACTTGAACCTGACTCGATGTTTTTATAGGGCCCAGCAGTATCAAAATTACAAGTGAATTTATCGACTCATTATTTAGGACGAAAGAAAAGTTCTTCATTTCAGATCCATAATTCCCATGACCCAACTCACTATCCTTTCAAGAGTAGCATTAATTTAGTTGTTGATAGAGAGATGATCAAGAATGTACTGTTTAATATAATATATAGAGAGAATCAACATCGAGGACACCTCACCCTAATGTTACAAGGCCGAGCTATTTTAATAAAAGAAAACTGACTCCAAATCATATTTCAAAGTAATTTTGGTGATTAGTTTTTCTTAGGTTCCGAAGCAATAGCAATCGTATCGAGAAAAATAGCAAACCAGTGGTCGAGTCTGAAAAGAGCGAGCAAAGGAAAAACTTGACTACAAAAATTCAAGAAGCGTTATTTAGTAAATTTAGTTTTGATTATAAATTTTCTTAACTTCTTTAGAAACCAACAAATTTATGAAAAAATATGCAGCACTATATTCAAAATCTTCCCCTAAGAGTAAGTTTATATATTAATTTACAAAACTGATCTTTATAATTTAGGGTTTGCAAGGAATGATTGAAAAGCATCATTCTATCAACAGTAAGCACTCAAATTTATGTATCTTAATTCTATAATCCTCTGAAATTAATCTCTGTTATTAGAAGAGATTCTTCTCCATCTGTAATAAACGCAGTTGCTTATGATCGGAGTGAGAGGCTTAACATATCAACTCTTATTGAGACCTACAACAGCTCTAAAACAGGGAATGGATGTAAAACTAAGAAGGGAAGTTTGTTTAAGTCCATACTTAAATCTAAGAAAGTTCTTTTATCAAATCAGAGATCTATTGTTGCTAAATTTGCTCCCAGCACTCCAATCAAGAATAGCAGAGTTGTGGGATCAAAGATATCTATTTTACAAAAAAATAGGTTTCACCCTTAACTTTTCAGAGGATATTTACTCTACATGTTCAAAATAAATAATAAATAATTAAATTATTGAAGGGGTTTTGGGGTTTTGGGGTTTTGGGGTTTTGGGG